CCCCAAAACCCCAAAACCCCAAAACCCACAGCATATTTAAGAAATTTAGTGAAGTGATTGATTAATCAATAGTATGTATTTAATCATGACTATAGTTTAAAAGGATCAATATATCATAAATAAGATTAGACTGGCTATCATTTTGATCAATATTTGATATTTTTAAATATAAGAGGTTCACTAAGGTCAAAGTCGAGGCCACTCACAGGGTTTTCTTTCTCAGGCATTCTTGCTTGGTGTCGAAAGCAATTAAGCTACTCCTTTACTCCTCGAAACTAATCCTTCATATCTTATAGCAAATTAGAGTTACCTTCTTTCTTGAAATCAAAAGCATTATTTTTCTTTTCCTCACTTATTTTATTCAATTTTTTACTGACACTATGTTCATCAATATCACAAGTTATATTTATAGGTTCATTTTAGTTGCTTTCTCTAGTCCTACGCTTGTAGAAAGTTCTAGTGTAAGGAGATTTCCTTACTGGGTTCTAATCATGATTTTGTTCTACATACAGATGCTCAAAAAATAAAGACTCAAACATCTACCCAAACTCAATGATTTTAGTAAATAAAAATGCTATTGTCAGACCAAAAGCAACAACAAGTTTCTCTATTAAAATGAATGTAATTGAAAAATCGATTTACCTTCAGAAGGATTAGACAAATAAAGGAATATTAGGAATATCATAACAAGAGCAAGCATAAATGAAGCAAATGCTATTATTATAGAGGCTTTTTCATCAAGACAGGTGTTTTTATCGTTTGGTTTGAATTTAGACCATAACTCTTGGAAATTATAGGCCGCAATAATAAGTGCAGTTGGAATCAACATTAGAGAGGCATCAATATAAATTTGGCTGTCAACTCTAATGCTAATCAAAATCTAAATAAAACTTATAATCGTCTAAATTAAGCATTACCACTTAGGCTGACATTCCGATTTTGATAGCAGTATCATATAGGACATGTTTTGAATTTATCAGCACCAGCTAAACCAGAGGTTAAACCCTTCAATAAATAAATATTACATTAAGAAGCATGAATCCACAAAGTATATACAATGGTGACAAATAGCCAGAGATGGGCTAGTTACCTTCTAATGGATTATACTATTACAATTTTACTTCTATAGGTATCGCAGTCTAAGTAGAATGTCATGTTTTAAAAGAAAACTGCAAAGCAAATGCCTGTAACTCCTTTTTCAATCAGCGTACCCACTGAGTTTCTATGCCATAGTAAACACCCTTTATCCTTTAAATCTAGTGTCATTACTATTATTATTGCTACAGCTATGATTACCACTTCATAGCCCAGTGCCATTAATGGAAGTTGTGAATTCGCTAGAGTCGAAGTACATTGCTGCAAGTGATTATGAATTTCAGCTTAAAATCGCTGATTGTTTTGCAAGCCTAAGTTATTCCCATCAATATTATTAGATCCATTGATTTTGTTATTCTAAGTGACAACAAATCTTTACTCTTCGAATATGAATATCAGAGTTAAACTTGCTATCAAATGCAATAAAATCCAAAGCCCAAAGGCAAGTTGCAGTATAAAATGAAGGCAGGACTTCTTAACTAGATCTCTTTAGAAAAGATAGCACTTCTTCCTAAGATTGCGGTTTTTTCTTGAGACACTGCGACTGCTATGGGAAAGCACAAGACTATCATTAAGATTCTCTATTTTCAATTCATTATTCATCTTCATTTATTAATATTGAGACTTTAATTATCATTATCCAGATTTAAAATTTTGCTTACGGGGTTTTGGGGTTTTGGGGTTTTGGGG